ATTTATTCTCGTAATTTTAGGACTATTCTCATTGCGAATTTATTCTCGTAATTTTTAGTGTTGTACCGATATCAGTATCGGGCAGGACCCCGATGCTGCACTAAAATGTAATGTTGCGCCGATGCCATTTTTTGGCCCTGATACCTGGCTGTGCAGTATCGGCCAATACCGATACCATCTGTTTGAAAATTGATGTGTGTTCATATATGAAGAACTGCAGACTACTTGGATGTAAAATAATTGCCATCATGGCTTCATGTCAAGCTGCTGCCTACCAAGTAAAACTGCAACATGAAGATGAGCGGCTGGATGTGGATTGTATACAAACGAACCCAACTTACTGTTAAACAGGAAGCTAATTGGTTTTAATTCCATTTCTACAGCCTTCATCACCAAATATTCTTATTGAATATCTAAGGCTGGACCTCTGAGCTGAGAGCCGTCTGTTCAGGTTGATGCTAGATGATTCTCTGCTAGCCCACATGTTGTCCGGCAGCGTTCCGATTCCAAAACAATTAAAAGTTCAGTTTCCTGTTTGGAAAAGAAGATTAGAAGAGATGAAAAGACAGGGAAGAGTGAATTCAAGCAAGATGGATATTAAAAGGCAAATTCCTCACAATTCTATGCAAAATGGAATTGTCTAAAATAAATGAACTCCTTTTTAACTGAGAAAGTGAAACGGAACCAGAAAAGCTCATCAGCAAAACGGTTGAATTTCCAATTAAAGATGCAGCGATTCGCAGTTCAGTCTGGATTTTATATTTGAGAACGGAAGCTGATTGATGTAAACATATATGAATCGATGGGACCCCACTGATCAATTCTTTAGATTTTGTCCCAGGCCCAGTTAAGGCTTTCAGCTGGCCTAAGATCAGGTATAAATGCTTCCAGATTGACCTCTGACCTTTCCAACAGGTTCGGACGTCTGCGGCTAAAGACGGTTTTAGAGACTGACCACAGAAAGACGCAGACTTCCTCTCCTCCTCTTTCAGTTTCTGTTCTCACGCCTTCATCACTTCTTTCAAGCACATTTCTTCCTTCATTTCACCCTTTCACTATTTTGCTGCTGCTAGCTGGTTTTTCATATCGGTTTAAACATCGTAGCAACAGACGACAAAACGCAGAAGTTCAAAACTGACTACGTTGATTCTAAAGCCTTCATGCTGTTTTAATGTCTCCAATGTTTCTTAGTTCCTCTTTCTCTGTCCAGCCGATCGACTCGCCGCTCCTCGGCTTCGGCACGCAAAGATGGAGGGTTGTGTCCAACTCGCTCACTGGAAGGAAAACCTACGTGCCTTTGCACTTCGGCACCATGGACAGCCTGAGAATCCTGATGGGCGAGCTGACGCAGATGCATCCAGATGTTGGCCGGCAGGGAGTTATGGACGCTCTGATGGAGCTGAAGACACGACACGGGGGGGCCCTTGGCAGCCTTCCCCTCAGCACCATCAGAGATATGACCTCTGACCTGCTGACCAAATCAGCTCCTGCCACCCAGACATGAGGAGGAAAGACTTTTTTTTCCCCCATTTACTTAATTTCATTGAATTAAAAAAAAAACGAGTTCAAGTTTGCTGCTTTTTGTTGTAACTAATTGTGGAATAAATTTTCCTCTAACAGTCCGTGTCTCAGTGCCTTTGCTTTCTGGCTTATGTGTTGATCAGTTTTGAATATTGGTGGTGCTTTCACACTTGTGCTAGCGTGAGATGGACTCTACAACCCATATAAGTGGATCAGGTAGTGCTGCTCATCCAGTGCGTTGGCAGAAGGTTTGCTGCGCCAGTCAGCGTAGTGTCCAGAGGCGCTACCAGGAGACAGGCCTGTACAGCAGGAGACGTGGAGGAGGCTGGCAGGGGGCAACAACCCAGCATCAGGACCACTACCTCCATCTTTGTGCAAGGAGTAGCAGGAGGAGCACTGCCAGAGCCCTGCAAAATGACCTCCACACGTCATGTATCTGCACAAACAGTTAGAAATGGACTCCACAAGGATGGTCTGAGGGCCAAACATCCATAGATGGGGGTTTTGCTCGCAGCATGTTGCCCTGTGCTCTTCACCCAGGAAAGCGGGTTCACACCTAGCACATGTAAGAGTCTGGAGACAGTGGAGAGCGACCTGCTGCCCGCAGCATCCTTCAGCATGACCGGCTGCATGACAGGGCTGCACAGCTCTGCATGCGCTCGCCAGAGGTAGCATGACTGCCATTAGGTACCAAGATGAGATCCTCAGACCCATAGATGTAAGATTAGACCCCGCGTCGATCGCTTTCACCTATGGCGCTGGCGTGATTTGGTTGCGCCCTTTTCGGGATGGTCGATGGCTCCGCTCAGTAACATGTTGCGCA